TATATATATATAAATTACAAAATGTAATATTTTTCAAAATTTATGCAAACTCTCTAACATTCATCCTTCTAAAAACGGATACACGAATGCTCGCAGATACGAGCAGATATTCGTATTTAATATTTATCCGCACGAATACGCATGGATACAAAATATATCCGCATTTATGAGAAATTACGATTTAAAAAGAACATATTTAGCCTACTAAAAATGGATACATTTTTTTCATATGGATCTGTTAGGAATTTTCATCAGAGTACTTTAATAGATTAGTAACTTTAATAGATTCGTATAAAAATAGTTAAAAAAGCTGGTAGAATATGAATAGACTGATCGTAGGACATTTTACAGGACTTCTTGGCGTTTTCTTTTTACGAGTAAACATATCCCTCTCTTGGCAGCGTACTACGCACAGTGGATTTCTATAGGTTGTACAATATCATAATAATTGTATTTAAAGCCGGTTCTACATTAATCGCAAGTCGATCGCAAGCCAATTTTGTTGCGACAGCCAATATGAAGTGTTGATTTCAAATTGCAAGCTTCAGATTGGTTGTTGCTTTCGCAATAAACTTGCAATCAGCTTGCAATTAATGTAGAATCGACTTAATGGAGATATCAACGTATTAGCACCTATAAGCTTTTGCATAAGAAAAACTTACTTGTTTCTATTTGTGTGTATCGGATGCTGATGATATCTATCCGCAATTAGAGATATCATTCCTGTCTGCATCTGTGTGTAATGTTAACCTATAGGAATTTGTCTATAACTATGATGCCTGTTTGTTTCTATTTGTATTATGTATCGAATGCTAATCTATCTGTAATTACATATTCATCTACACCTGCAATGTTGATCTATAATAGATGCAGATGAATCCGGTATCCGTAATTACAGATAGATACCGTCAGCATCCGATGCATATAGATTGCATCCGACACACACACACACACACAGATAGAAACAGGCAAATTTTTCTACTGCAAAAACTTGTAGAGCTATGCTAATACGTTGACAGATCTTTATTAAATACAATTACATTTTCTTTATTAAATACAATTACATTTTCTGTCTGCATTTGCAGATATATAATAGTTGCTCACAGAAATATATAAGAATTGAATATTCTTTTCAAACAGGAGATATCCATTATTAATTCGTTAGAAGTTCTATCTGTTTCTGGCTGTTTCTGATTATTTTTAATAGAAATTTTTAGGAGCAATAAGTCCGTAAGTCACTCTGGAAAAATACCGCAGTTACGTACGTGTGCTAACTGCTAAAGTGCTAAATTATGATATAACACAAATTTCAATATAGGTACGGAATAGAAATATAAATAGATTATACCAATTGACAACATTTGCTCAAACACAAATAGAAATCAATAAGTCATGTATCCGCAAATACAATCACAATCTGGAACATTTAAAAACGTGCAATTGCGGATTTTGTGCATATAACAGTACGTATAGAAACGTATGACGAATATCCGTGCGTGACAATTTCACGCTCATATATCGACTGCTTGCAAATGCGTATAAATTACGATATAACGCAAATTCATATAGATACGGATAAAAACACAATAAACTGTGAATAGATTCCAGTACCTGGTGACGATCACGCAACGCAAACACAGACTGATATGTCCTATGTTCGCAAATATGAATGTGTACCAGTATTCTGTATATGCGAACAGAATCTGATTAATTTTTTGTCATACAATGCAGGTACAATGGAACATTACATGTTGCGTATAAGTGCATGTAAATATGCATAAATTTTGCATTCGCAAATGCATGGAAAAGCATATACATCCGATTGATTATAATAAATTCGAAAAAATTATCGATCAGCATTCGCAGATATATTCAATTTACAATTGATGCCGATAGAAACATGTAAGATTTTGTAGTAGAAATTTTTTCATATGGATACATCCAAATATGCTAATAATTTCTCATAAATTTGGATAAATCTCGTATATGGATTTATCGATTCTATTGAGAATTTCCGGCAGGGTTTATAATTTTTTAGAATAATTTTCTGAAAAATTTTATGTCTTTGTAGAAAATTTTTCAGATTTTTAATACAAATTGAAACATTTTAGAAATGCCGCAAGGTTTACATTTTTTCTAGAATTTTTACATATTAAAATTCTCAAATATCTTAAAAAATTTCTCATTCCATGATTCCTAATCTTGTAAAATCTGAGTAAGTTTAAGATATATTTTCAAAAATTATAA